GGGATGAAGTGCTGAGTTCAGAACAAAATGGAGACCACCACATGGCCTATTTATCCCTCCTTCCTGGTCTCTTCTTGGCTATAGCAGGTCACCTGGTCCACCTTATTCCTGTGTTGCCTGCTGGTAGGCCTTAGGTATGAGTCACCACTCATTCTTTAGGTGTGTCCTTGGCCCATTGAGTGCCATTGTCCCACAGGGCCTTGCTGATTAGCATGTCCATAGGCCGGGCTCTGCCCAATGCTCAACCACATGCAGAGAAATATTCAGTCTCCACACAGATTACAGATTCCTAACTACACACACAGACATCACACAATCACACAAATAGCATACACAGGATCAGCAGACAGCAAGCTTCTATTCAACATCCCACATGGCCCCCTTTTATACCATTTTCTGGGGCCAACACCCCCACCTATGGGTGCAGCAGCGACCTGGCTGCTCCCCTCAAAATCCAGTAACATGACACCTGCTGAAGTTTGTCAAAGTGGATAGTTGTCATTGAGGCTAAAAGTTGGCCCTTGGCCACATCTGAAAACCAGAGCGCCAGATTCTCAGCAGCGGTAAGCCACATGGCTCCACTAGAGTCAACAGAGCTGTGTCCATTCCCATCAGCTGAGGATCTGACCCAGCGCCTTTAGAAACCAGGCACTGCAGGGTCTGGCCTCATCCGGGGCTGGGTAACCGTCTGTAGCATCAGAAGCCGACTGGGCACAAGCAGGAGAGATGCCACATTTCGATGCCTTTGTTCCTAGGACAAAACATGCACATTATGAGGCCACGCCACATGGTCACAACACCTGCCTCATGGCCCCAGAGTACCACTGCTGCACATCCGGAGCTGACGGGCCATCCCCTGTGCCCACAGCACAGCTTCTCTGGAGGAGCAGCCCTTTTGCTATCAGACCCCAAGAGTAGCCACATCTTTGCCACGCCTCGTGCCTCTCGGAACAGCACTGCTACAAACATGGCAGCCCCCTCATTCCCGGCCCCGCCTGTGTAACCTACAGGCCTGCCACGCTCAGAAAGAGAATGAGTCTGCTCTGCAGCCTTTGCTGAGCATCAGCTAGCTTGTAGCTCAGGCTGGAGAGGCTTATGCCCTAAACTCCAGCGGGCCCAGGTTCGGTTCTGCCTGCTGGCATTACGCCTGTCGTTGCAGCAATGGGCTCCTGCATGCCTGGATGAAACTGGACACCTCTTGAGAGGCCAGGGCAGTGGGTATTAGAGGCAGGGGAGGGCAATGCCTTCCCAAACTGACAACTAGCCCCACCCATGCCCCACTGGAGTCCCTTACACCCACTCCCCCTGTCAGCTGTTGTGATGCCAGAGGCAGACATGTCGGGAGCTGTGCTGCCTGTCTTTCCCAGCACTAGGGCCAATCTGGCCCAGGGCTGGCAGCTTGGCTGCCTTGCAGGTCAGGGGTGCGGGTGACTCAGCTCTGTGTCATGCCTGCCAGCCAGCTCTTCAGAGCTGGGACAGGCTGTGGGCCGGCCACCTGCTGACTTTCCCGAGTTCTGGGGTCAGGGGAGGTTGCAGCTAGCTGGCTCTCAGCAACTCTAGGGCCAGAGGAGGCTGGTGGTGCTACCCTGGGGCAGGGAGGGAGCAAGTGGGAGGAGAAGACAGTAGGCTCCTGTGGACAGGGATGGAGGGTGAGGTTTGCCTCCCCAAACCATGGGGTCATCCATCACCATGTGCATAGGTTTACATGAGTGACTGGGGCATTTTGGGCAGCAACAAAACCGGTTGGGCTAGGGCTACCTCTCTCCTGTGGGGCTCTTGTGTCAGAGGACATTGCGAGAAGATGATGTGTTGATGTAAGGCCCTTTTCCCTGACCGAAGACAGATGAGGTCCCAAGCACTGGGAGTAAGCCTGAGTGGGTGGACACTGTTGATGTAAGGCCCATTTCCCTTTTCCCTGACTGAAGACAGATGAGGTCCCAAGCGCTGGGAGTAAGCCTGAGTGGGTGGACACATATTCATGGCCTACTGCTTCCGCTGAGATCCACTCTGGCTGGTTTCCAAAGCAGCAAGGCCTGCCACATAAGATTAGCCCTGGCGGGTCACTTCCCTGGCATGTGCCTAGAACCTACCTGGAGAATCCCAAAGGTGTCACAATGAGCCGTGTCCCAGCCGGCTGGTGGGCAGGGAGGTGACGGTGGCTTTGAGGTGAGAGGTGGTGAGACTCAGCTAAGAGGCTTTCTCCTGAAATCCCTTGAAATGTAACCTCCGGGTGGAATTAAAGCCATCAAAGCTGAGTGAGTAGGAAGGCAGCCAGTGGGGGCTTGTGATATTGAATTCTGCCTCACATGGAGGGGCTGGACTAGGTGACCTCTGGAAGTCCCTTCCACCCCTCCGTCGCCACGGTGTAAACTGAGGCGGGCCCAGGTGACAGACTGTCTAATCTCCTTTTGTCCTGCCCATTCAGGGCTGGCCTTACCATGAGGCAAACTGAGGCAAACTGTATCATTCCCTGTGAGTGTTACCTCAGAGAGGACTCCGGGGCTGCTTGATTCACGGGCACAGGCAGCCTCTGCTTCAGCCATGATGGCGTTCACAGGAACACAGGCCTGGAAGGCCCCTCGTGGATCACTGCGACGGGTGCCCTGCTTCCCAGGCAATGCCATGAGTGAGTAGGAAGGCAGCCAGTGGGGGCTTGTGATATTGAATTCTGCCTCACATGGAGGGGCTGGACTAGGTGACCTCTGGAAGTCCCTTCCACCCCTCCGTCGCCACGGTGTAAACTGAGGCGGGCCCAGGTGACAGACTGTCTAATCTCCTTTTGTCCTGCCCATTCAGGGCTGGCCTTACCATGAGGAGTTGGACAAAAGTCTGTATCATTCCCTGTGAGTGTTACCTCAGAGAGGACTCCGGGGCTGCTTGATTCACGGGCACAGGCAGCCTCTGCTTCAGCCATGATGGCGTTCACAGGAACACAGGCCTGGAAGGCCCCTCGTGGATCACTGCGACGGGTGCCCTGCTTCCCAGGAGATGCCAGACTGTGTGGGATGGGGAGGGGGACACTACTAGGACCCAGACTGTAGAAAATTGTGTCTGCTGCTGGTGCATAGGTAGGTAGCAGAGCGGTACCATGAGAGGAGTAGAACCGGAAGAAGGCAGAATTGAGACCTTTCAAAGTTTTGGCCCAAGCGAGGGGGTACGTTTGGTTAGTCGCTAAGGGCACCACCGCCTTTGAAATGTCGCAGGAGCCCTGCCGGCGCTTGCTACATTTCAAAGGCGGAAGCACCATGGGGAGCACGGGACCGGCGGGGGACTCAAGCAGCGTTCCGCTGCATCCCTGTTCCCCTCCTCCCCCAGAGACAGCGCTGGGGGACCCGGCTTTTAAGCTGGCTCCCCCCAGCACTTGCTCCTGCTCCTTCTCTTGTTACCTCTCTCAGATAGAGCCAACAACGCCCCACAGTCCCAGCCACACGCTCCATTCCTCTTGGAGCCAACCCCTGGTGGTGATCTCGGTAGGCAGGGACACTCAGCAAAGATGTTAAATTTAAATTAGATTAATCAACTAATTGAATAGTTGATGCAAATTGCATTGACCGTTTGGTTAGTCGCTAAGGGCACCTCCGCCTTTGAAATGTTGCAGGAGCCCTGCCGGCGCTTGCTACATTTCAAAGGCGGAAGCACCATGGGGAGCACGGGACCGGCGGGGGACTCAAGCAGCGTTCCGCTGCATCCCTGTTCCCCTCCTCCCCCAGAGACAGCGCTGGGGGACCCGGCTTTTAAGCTGGCTCCCCCCAGCACTTGCTCCTGCTCCTTCTCTTGTTACCTCTCTCAGATAGAGTCGCCTATCCGATAAACATATGCTTATTGGATAGTTGACTAGTCCACTAGTCACTTATATCCCTAATACTCGGTGGCATTGTCCCTGGGCTCAGCAGTGGTGCCGAAAGGAGTTTGGTTTCAAACAATGAACCGTGTCAGGTTCTCTCTGGGGTGTTTCCTACTTCCTGGCCCTCTCGTTGCAACGACACAAGGCAAACGCTGCAAGAAATGAAGTTGCACCCTCCTGACGTTCAGTGCCCCCTCTGGAGTACGGCATTGCCGTGTGCTTGGCGAGAAGGGTCAATTCCTGAGGTCCCCTTGCCCATGCCCTGGGGCGACTCCGGACACCGGTTTGATCACTCAGTGCTCCCTGCCTTGCTTGGCCAGCCCCAGACAGTGCTCCCAGCATTGGCATGCTGCTCAGAGCCTGGCACATGTTGGGCAGAGCCCAGATAAGGCCCATGCCAAGTCCAGACGCCCCTGGCTTGAGCGACTGAGGTGGCGTGTGGCTGGATTCTAGTGGCCTTTGAAATGTCAGGCCTCTTCCCCCACCCCGGTGGGTGGGTTAGTACGGGGCTCCAGTGCCCCAGTGCACGAGAGCTGTGGGAAAGGGGGCAGAGAGGGGATGCGCAGGCCGCAGGTGGAAACCCAGTAGGCCGCAGGCTGCCCACCACTGGAATCTTGTGGCCCCCCTGAGATGAGGGAGGGCCCCTCCTGCAGCTCACTCACAGTCTTGGTCGCCCATCGCTGAGGTAGAGCAGCTTTTGCCCCCCCCATTTCCACAGCGTACAATGTCGTGGTGGAGAAAAGCGGAGGAGGAGGATAAGACGGAGGCAGCAGGGGAGGAGGCTGAGCAGCTGGAAGGGGCGGACGAGGACACGGAGGAAGAGAACACGGTCTCCTACTCGCCCTTGTCTCCTCAGATGTCAAGCTCCGAGCAGGTCCCTGAGCAGAACAAAACAGAGGAGACCTGGCTCTGGGACTGGCTCTCCCCCTTCTCCCTCTTCTTGGGGCTGAACACGCAGGCAGACAGGTACGCGCACAAGGGGATTCCCAGGCTGTGCTCCGCAGAGGGGGACTGACCCGGGGAGAGAGAAGCAGTGCTCCCGTGTTCACGACGCCTGTGGTGTGGGAGATGATGGCACGGACAGCTTGGGGAGTGTCCCGCCAAGTCCTCAAGAGAACCAGGAGGGTCACTCCCACCTGCCACCATTTCCTTCCTAAATTCCCTGGAGGCTGAAGCCCTCTTTCCCCATCTCCTATGCACTAGCAGTGTAAGCGTCCCACCCCCTGGGCCATCAGTCCTGCCTAGGCTGCGCTACAGTGATTAGTTACCTCACGAGAGAACGGGAGTAATTCTGTTTGCTTCACCTCCCCGCCATTTTTGGCCTCTCCACAGACCAATCGCTAACAATGCCAGCTCTCTGAAATGTTAGGGGGTTTCTCTCTGGGTGAACTAGAACTGTGCAAATAACTGTTTTTTCAGTACAATAGCTGAACCAGAATAATTGGAAAACATGTTTTTTCAGAGCAACCCCAAAAATTAATTGTATTTTATTTGAGGGATTTAAAAAAAAAAAGTTGTTAAAATGTATAGTTCAGTAAAAAAATGTAAAGGGCATTTTTGCATTAAAAATCAACTTGTTTTTGCTCAAAACAGTCAAAATGAAATGGTTTCATTTGGAGGGAATGTTTTCCCCTTTTTTCTGTATTTTAACTGAAACTATGTGACAGATGTGACCCAGATTGATAGTGTTTCAAGTGTCCCAAAACTGCAAAGAAAATGTTGGCCAAAAAATGTTGCTGAGTTCTTATTCCTTTGGAATACCATGGTGGATAGTTTTCATGCTATGGATAATTATATCCTACCAGCCATCCTGAGGCTGGCAATAACTCATTTCATGTAGCCCATTTCACACTCGTCACTTAGGAATGATGTTTAATCGTTGCTAACATGAACAGGATTGAAAATGGTGACCTAGAGATGAAACAGGCAACCTGCAGATCTGAGCCCAAAAACCTCCCGGTGTTATGTGAGTAACAAATATAAAGAGCAACACTATAATTTCCGCCCATATTAGTTATTTTATAGAAAACAACATCTCAAGAAAGAACAAAAGAAAAGTCCTCATGAAAGCGATCTCCTCTGGAACCCACTGCTTCATTTTGGCCTCCCAAAATGTCAGCAGAAAGAATCAGTCCACCAAAATCCAAGTCCTAGCTGTATTCCAGAGCAGCAATGGTGCACTCGCTGCTGGAATACTGTGTCCGGTTCTGGCATCCACAGTTCAAGGAGGTGGTTGATAATTTGGAGAGGGGTCAGAGAAGAGCCACAAGAATGATTAGCAACCATGTCCAGTAGGGAGAGGCTCCAAGGGCTCAATTCATGTAGCTTAACAAAGAGAAAGTCAAAGGCTCACTGGTCTTTTAGTAGCTACATGGGAACAATGCTCCCTCTAATTTTTTTCATCAACATGCAGAATAAATTTTGTTCTGTGCACTGAGTCATGTGCAGATGTGCACCACCAATAGAAACACCTGTTGCCAGCTGTGGGTGTTGTGGGTGCTCTGCTAATCAGCAGGGCAGCATTTGAATTTCTCCTGGGTGGCCACCCAAGCACTCAGCTTGCAGAGACCATTGCATGGGAAAAAGAACTTTAATAACGGGCTCTTCAGTGCAGCAGAGAGGGGTCTAACAGCATCCACTGGCTGGAAGCTGAAGTGAGAGGGCAGACGAACTCAGGCAATTAACCACTGGGACCGTTTAACAAACAGGAGGTCAGACAAGATCAGCACAATGGCCCCTTCCAGCTTTTAAGTCTATGGTCCACATCCAGTCCCCTTGTTCTTCTCCCACTTCACTCCCATGCCCCCTGGGCTTCTATTCTTCCTGAGGAGGAACGCAGGGCAGTGGTCCCTTCCCAGCTCATCAGTGGTGTCCCTTCCTCAGCAGACCGGCTGAGCTGCTGGACACTGCCAGGCTCTCCCTTGCTTCCTAAAGAGCCCAGTGAAACAAATTCTGAAGACATCAGAGCAGGCATCTTGCCATCAGATCTTGCCTGGGTCAGGTGGTAAGACTTTAGCAAGCAGATCAGAATGTGAACTCAAAGCCCTGTCCGAGGAACATGAGACATGCCAGAGTGGCCAGACCCTGGCCCAGATAGTTTCCTGCTGGATTGATAGGACCAGGGCTGGGCAAGATGCGGCCCGGGGGCCCGATCCAGCCTGCCAAACACTTTGATCCAGCCTGTGGATTGCATCTGGTCGCTTACTATTTCTATCCTGCTGCCCGTTCCACCAAATTTCCAGGCATTGACTCAGGGAACAGGATCCTATTTAAATGAGTCCCAGTTGCAACACTATTCTGGCAGGGGCCGGCCTCACAAGCCCTTTAAATAGCCATAGCAACCCCCGGCAGCTGCCTGGCCATGCAGTAGCAGTGTGGACGGGAGCCACGAGCCCATTGCTGTGTTTTTAATTCAAAGCCTCCAGCCCCAGACAACTCTGGGGGGAGGCTAGTCCTCAGCCCCGCCCCTTCCACCACAGGCCCCACCCCTTCTGTGGTGGAGCTGGCCCGAACCAAAATTAATTAAGTCACCCACCCCTGGATTAGACCATTGATCTGTCCCTACCTACTCTAGTACCCTGGCCCCAAGTGTCTACCACCTGATGCTTCAAGGGAAGGTGTCACGCCTATAAAGCACCTGACTGGTTGTGCCAAAGGAGACATTTCTTCCTTGTGGGTCAGCAGCTATAGGAGGTTTTAATGTGAGCTTGTAGCATGAACTTTATTAGCAATCAGAAAACTCGCCAGTCAATTTGCATTAAAAAATCCAGCAGTTTTGGCTTAAAAAAAAAGTGTCATTTGTTACCTTGAAATTGAGGACTGAAACTTGCCACATGAGACACACTTGGTCAGCTGCTAGAATCAGTTTCACCCTGGGCAGAGTGACTCACTGCAGAGCAGAAGCCATGATGGCATTGGCCAGGTCTGTGCTATGCGAGTAAGTTGAGTTAAGATACACAACTCCAGCTATAAGACTAGCATAGCTCGAGTCGATGTGCCTTGAGTTGGATTTCTGCGGCCTCCTCACTGTGGGATGGTGACAGGAGAAACTCTCCCGTCAACTTCCCTTATTCCTCGTGACCCCGTAGGGTACAGAGGTCGACGGGGGCACCATCAGCAGTTGATTTAGCAGGTCTTTACTAGACCTGCTAAATCAAACCCTGGAAGATCGATCCCTCGAGCACCAATCTCAGGGCAAGTGTAGACCCGGCCTAAGTCTCATCTCCCGTTTCCCTCCTAGGAAGGCTAGGAAAAGGCTTCCCGGCAACATGTGTCCTGAGTGCGAGATCCTGTTCTGCAGGAAGTGTGAGGTGTTACACTACAACCAGGGTTTCATAGAGCACTGCATCCTGGGCCATGGCCAGGAGGAGCCAGAGGGCAGGGGCTCGGGTCTCACCAGCCCCATTCGGAGTACAGGTGGGCTGAACAAAGAACCGACAGGTTGAACCACTGCTTGGCAAGCCAGGTGCATGGGCTCCAAGCTACTTCCTATACTGCCGGCATGGCCCCAGCGTTAGCCATACATATGTCAGGGCCTTCAAAAGGGGATCTCTCTGCTTCCCCTTTACCCCTATCTCAAAGTAGATCTCCATCTCTTACCCTTCCCTACGCTTCCCCTCCCTTTGCCCCCAAACGAGTGGAACCAAACCAGCTTCCACGTGCCACGGCTGTGAAACTCAGTGTGAATTGCACACCCTTCCCCGTGGCCTCCTTACCTCAAAACCAGCCTGTCTCTTCCATACAGCCCCAGAGCCCTGGGGTCTTTCAGCCACCTGGTTTCCTCTTGCAGCTGAGTCCTTCCCAGAAGCCTGGCATCTCTCAAATGGCAGAGCCTTAGCCAGCTATCTCTCCAGGGCCCGTAGGGTGCTCAGCCTGCATGCGAAGTACCAGCAATACTGAGGTGTTGGTCCTATGTTGCACAGGAACACAAGAGATTTCCAAGATGATTGGCTGTTGGCACCGGCATTGCGACAGGGAGCAGCATCTAGGGCAGAGGCCAAAGGAGATGGGGTATTATGAGAAAAAGATTGTTAAGCGCATTGACAACCAAATACTGAGAAGAGATTAAGAACAATGACGAGGAGTCCTGTGGCACCTCGTCGCTTTTGCAGATTCAGACTAACACGGCTACCCCTCTGATACTTAGGAGTCCTGTAGCACTGTAGAGACTAACACATTTATTGAGCTTTGTGAGTAAAACTCACTTCATCAGATGAGTTGGACTGGATATTACAGAATCCAGGGGATATCTAGCAGCAAGAGAAGTTACCCATCAATGGTAGGCCCAGTGTTAATGAAGCTAATTAAGTCAGGCTGGATGTGTGTCACTCATAGGCTCTTAAAATCAGGAATAAGGGATCTTTCGGAAAAGGCTTTATTTTCCGAAAGACCCCCGTCTAGACTGGTGCTTTTTGCCAGCAAAGCCCCAAGCCGGAAAAAAGCAGCGGCCATGTTCATGCAAATGAAGTGGGGGAGATTTAAATCCCCGCTTCATTTGCAATTGCGCTGTGTCTAATCTGCATCCCTTTTCCGCAAAAGGGTTGCTGTCTAGACACAGCCATAGTGTGTGATGTGAAAATGTGAATATCAAACGCGGGAAAGTTGCTTTTGTAGTGCGTTAACTCATTAAAATCTTTATTCAAGCCTAAGCTGATAGTGGTGAACTTATAAATGGACTCCAGTTCAGCTGTCTCCCTCTGTAATTGGGGATAGATTTCTTTTGGAGAAGGATGGCTGCTTTCAAGTCCATTATTGAATGTTTAGGGAGGTTAAAATGTTCTCCTACAAGTTTATGTGTGTTACCATTCCTGATGTCTGATTTGTGTCCATTTATCCTTTGGCCCAGAGACTATCCAGGTTGTGTGGTGTGTGGCTGCTGGTAAGTATATGCTTCAAGTTAGGGGGCTGTCTGTAGGTGAGGACTGGCCTATTCCCCAAGTCTTGTGAGAGTGAGGGACCATTTTCTAGGAGAGATTGTAGATTGTCAATGATGCACTGGAGGGATTTAAGTTGAGGGTGATGACCAGTGGTGATCTGTTATTTACTTTGTTGGGTTTTTCTTGAAGTAGGTGACTTCTGGGTACCCGTCTGGCTCTGTCTATCTGTTTCCTCACTTCCCCAGGTGGGGAAGCCTGATACAGAGCTTATAGGTGTTTGTCTCTATGGGTATGTCTACACTACCCCGCTAGTTCAAACTAGCGGGGTAATGTATGCATACCGCACTTGCTAATGAAGCCTGGGATTTGAATTTCCCGGGCTTCATTAGCATAAGCGGGGAGCCGCTATTTTTAAATCCCCGCTGCTTCGAACCCCGTGCAGCGCGGCTACACGGGGCTCGAACTAGGTAGTTCGGACTAGGGTGCCTATTCCGAACTACCGGTACACCTCGTTTCACGAGGCGTAACGGTAGTTCGGAATAGGAACCTAGTCCGAACTACCTAGTTCGAGCCCCGTGTAGCTGCGCTGCACGGGGTTCGAAGCAGCGGGGATTTAAAAATAGCGGCTCCCCGCTTATGCTAATGAAGCCCGGGAAATTCAAATCCCGGGCTTCATTAGCAAGTGCGGTATGCATACATTACCCTCCTAGTTCGAACTAGGAGGGTAATGTATGCATACCGCACTTGCTAATGAAGCCTGGGATTTGAATTTCCCGGGCTTCATTAGCAAGTGCGGTATGCATACATTACCCTCCTAGTTCGAACTAGGAGGGTAGTGTAGACATACCCTATCTGTGGGATTGAAGCAGATCTGGTTGTATCTTCAGAGTCGACTGTATGGATCACATGATGAGTTCTGTATGTAGGTAAGAATAGCAGTCAGTAAATTTGATATTCGCATTTCCACATCACGCACGACGAGTGAGACACATCCAGCCTGACTTAGCTCCATTAACACGGGTCCTACCATTGACAGGTAACTACTTTTGCTGTTAGATATACCCTGGATTCTGTATTTCCACTCCAACTCATCTGATGAGGTGGGTTTTATCCATGAAAGCTCATGACCTAATAAATGTGTTAGTCTCTAAGGTGCCACTGGACTGCTCTTTCTTTTTAAAGTAACAGAATAACACGGCTACCCCTCTGAGAAGAGTTTGAAAGCCATAGCATTTATCATACAGGCTGTCAAAATACTCCACCCCCCATTCATAATGTGCAATTGTCCCTTATTCCAGATTCCATCAACCTGACTGTTGCTTCAGGGGGAGCAGAAGATGAAGAAATAAAGAGAGAATGAAGTCGCAATGGTAAAAACTTGTCTTTGTTCCCCCACAAATCACCTGACTGCAGACAGGCAGAAACTACTTTGGCATCAGCATTCACTGGTCCTTGCTCCTAAAAAAGGGTGAAGGGCTGCGTCTACCACTTACCTACCTGTCCCATGTGCTCTTCCAGAACCCACATGTGGCCAGTAGTGATTTTTCAGTAGGACGTTTTTTCAATTAAACACACATTTCCACAGAACGCATCTGTTGTGACTCCAAACAATTCTATGTGATGTAGCGAGAGCAAAATATCGGAACATTTTGAGCCAAGCCCACAATTTTTTTTTCATCAAACAGGCTTTGATGAGAAAAAAAGGGGGGGTTGGTTTGCAGCATTTTCAGCCAAAAATGAGTCAAGTTCTGTTGTCAAACATTTAAAAAAATGTCAGTTGGGGCTTTTTGGTTTTTTGACAAGAAGTCAAAACATTCCATCCAAAAACCCTCCAATAAACCCAAATATTTTCCAACCCGTTCTCCTCTTGCCAGGCCCCACAAAGGAAGAGAAAAGCAATAGCGAGGGGGCTTTCTTACACACCACAGGCACAGGGGTGGCCCTAGACTAGCTGCTAGCAACTGGCGCCCTAGACAAACCGTGCAATCGGCGCCCCCACCTCCAAACCCCTCAATGATATTGTGCCACCATTTGGCGCCCCATTTAACTTGGGGCTGTAGGCAACCGCCTAGTTCTCCTATATGGACAGGCCGCCTCTGCGCAGGCCAATATGACCATCACCTCCTCTTCCATGCTGGCATCTGAGTACTACACATGATAGTGAGGTTGTTCTACACATGGCACTACCAGCCTCAAAATGTGACAGACACTTTGCAACTGGAGGCAGAGACCGTCCCAGTAAGTGTAGCGTGTACAAAATGCCAAGGATGCAAAGGGATTATTCAGAATGGTAAAAAAGGGCTGTGACTAAGAATAACGGGATGCATTTATCGGGACGGGCCAATACATGTGCAGTAAGGGGAATCTTGGTAAGAGCAACATACATAACTGTCACATCATTGTCTGGTCGTTCATGACACTAGTTTTCAAAGCCTCTCTGTTGTGCAGTGCACCTGGATGTGTGGTTCTTCTTGCCCTGGTATCTGGCTGCTAGGTGATCTCCCACAACTCCCCACCCCACTAGAAACATTCCCCCCCCCCACTTATGTTCACAGATATTATGCAGCACACAGCAAGCAGCAACAACAATGGGAATATTGCTTTCACTGACGTCTAACCTAGCCAATAAACTGTAAAAACGTGCCTTTAAGCGGCCAGAGGCACATTCTACCACCATGCTGCATTTACTCAGCCCTAGGACTATTTGCCAGGGTTGGCCCCTTGTGGGCCGCTGCCTCTATATTTACCTACACAGCTGCAGGTACCAGTACTCACTGTTGGCTGCAGATTGCTGTTCCTGGCCAATGGGGGCAGCATGAAAACTGGCAAGAGATTTTTGAAAATAATACATATCGGCTACATCTACATTAGCATGATCTTGCACAAATACTCTTTAACACAAGAGTTCTTGCGTTAAAGTATTTGCACAAGAGAGAGTCTACACTAGCATGTGCCTTTGCACAAGAGCATCCATGTCAGTGTTCTCTTGCACAAGAAAGCTCTGATGGCCATTTGAACCATCGGGCTTTCTTGTGGAAGAAATTCATGTTGCCTGTCTACACTGGCCTCTTGCGCAAGAACAGTTGCTCAAGAGGGCTTATTCCGGAGTGGGAGCATCGTAGCTCTAGCGCAAGAAGCACTGATTTCACACATTAGACTGTCAGTGTTCTTGTGCAAGAACTCCCCGCCAGTGTAGACAGGCAGCATATTTTTGCACAAAAGCGGCCGCTTTGGCGCAAGATCGTGCCAATGTAGACACAGCCATTGGGTTCTTTTTGTTTGCCTTTTGGTGTTTGAGCTTCTAGGATGTACTTGCTTCCCAGCTTAAAGATTTTCTTTATCACCACAAGGACAAGAACCTTAATTTCTTTTCATTTCTTCTGACTTTCTTCTACAAAGACATGAGTCCAGGAGCTGGGAAGGAGGGAGGGGGTTAAAAACATCATTAATTGTGAATGTTGGCAACACGGAGAACATGAATACTTCCTCAGACACTTACTTTCCTGCCCTGTAACAAAGGCTTGCAGGATATTAGCATGTCTAGTTTGGATTGTTTGTTCAAACACCCTACATATATTATAAATCGGGCCATCAGCTTAGGCTCACATCCCTTGGTTGTGTCAGTGTAATCCCACTCCCAACCCCCAAGAGCAAGCGTGCAAGGAGTTTGTGACTTGACACCAAATTGTGCCCTGCCAGCCAACCTCACACAGGAGAAGGAGGTCTGAGTGGCCCAAGAATCTCAAATATCCCTGCAGGCTCGGGAATGCTGCATGCCTGACATACCCCAAGAAGCAAGGCTATAGAGGAGAAAAGACCCATTGTAAGGCAGGCTCTGAGGCAGGGAGGCCTAGTGGTTTGCAGCTTTCTGTATTGCGTGAAAAGGAGCTCCAGAAAAAGGAGCTATGTTGGAAGGATTTCAGTATGGTCAGCGAGGGTGTTGCTAATAGCAGGTGTCCTGTGGGTATTTGTTCTGCCCTATCCCAGAAGGGAGGGTAGGGGAAGCTGTTCCTTTGATTTTCCCTGCTACGTCTTAGACTTCATTAAAGAATCCACATTTCTGCTTTTCCATTCGAGCCAGCTCCCATGATTCACTTATTGCTGGGGATCGACCCTACAATAACAAACCAGTGCCCCTGAGCAGCCCGATAATAACAAGCCAGTGCACATCGCCCAGCGCTCTTGCAGGACCCTACCATAATCAGGACATGCAAGAGGGAAACGGTATTTCAGCTCAGGAAGAGATGTCCATTTTAGCCTCCAAGGCATTATTGTGAATGACTGGATGGGAAAAAAGGGACTGAACATTGTGCTGGACCCTCCCCCCATGCTGTATGAAATTGTCTTATGGACACCAAAATGCATAACTTGAAAATGCTTTGGACAAAATAGCTTATGTCACCTACCACATTTAGTGTCGCAGTCTGCTGGATCCCCACCCTCCTCATGAAAAATGACCTGGTTAAACTAGTATACCAGTGTCGTAGAATCATAGAACTGGAAGGGACCTCGAGAGGTCATTGAGTCCAGTCCCCTGCCCTCACGGCAGGACCAAGCACCATCTAGACCATCCCTGACAGGTGTCTGTCCAACCTGCTCTTAAATATCTCCAGTGATGGAGATTCCATAACCTCCCTAGGCAACTTATTCCAGTGTTTAACCACCCTGACAGGTAAGAAGTTTTTCCTAACATCCAACCTAAACCTTCCTGGCTGCAATTTAAGCCCCTTGCCTTCGTCCTGTCCTCAGAGGCCAACGAGAACAATTTTTCTCCCTCTTCCTTGTAACATCCTTCTAGATACTTGAAAACTGCTATCATGTCCCCTCTCAGTCTTCTCTATTCCAAACTAAACAAGCCCAATTCTTTCTGTCTTCCTTCATCGCTCATGTTCTCTAGACTTTTAATCATTTTTGTTGCTCTTCTCTGGACCTTCTCCAGTTTCTCTGGATCTTTCTTGATTTCAATTGGTTTGGTCACATGTTTTTCCAGGCACAATCCCTGCTCAAACGTAAGAGCCAAAAGCAGGCTGCTTACAGGGAATTAAGTTGATCACCCAAAGATCAAGGTTGTCAGAACACTGGACACTCCCTTGATGGCTGGCATTTGCACATTTAAAAGCTTAACCCATTCCCTACCCCAACATTTCTAACTTTATGTACAAAAATGATACATCCACCAAACTAAGCGATACAGAGCCAGCAGAATGTGACATTACAATGGATGGGTGACCTGAGGTATTTTGTCCAAACCATCTTCCTCATAGTCCTCAGCAGCTGCACAGAACATTCCACCCGGTTTGGTCTTGAGATGGTTTTACACGTGGAGATGTGGACAGCTGCAGATGCTGCACAGCTGTGAGAAACCATCCCAAACGCACAACGCCTAAGCGCAGAGCATTGCACGGTCCAGAGGGTGCCTCCCCAAAAAGCAGCAGAGGTCTTTGGAAAACACACAGCGTTCTGTCTTAGGAAAGTGCCAAGAGCCAGCAAAAACAAAGCCTGTGGAGGCACCTTTCGCTGGGGTATTTCCACGTTAGTAGTGGAAGGTCATGTTCTGAAATATTTTCTCCGTGTAGAGAAGACCTTATACAGGTTGGATCTCCCTAGTCCGGCACCCTCCCAACATGACTGGTCCCAGATGAGGGATTTTGCCGGACCAGGGGAAGTCATTTCTGGCTCTCCTGTTGCCAGCATCTCCTCAGTCCTGCCCCCCACCAGGTTCCTGGCTCCCCCCACAGTCCAGCTAAGCCATGTGCTGGCTCCCAGACCCCCTGAAGTCCAGCTGAGTCGCATGTCAGCTGCTGCCCCCCCGCAGCCCAGCTGAGCCATATGCCAGCTCCTGTGCCCCCTTCTCCCCACAGCCCAGCTGAGCTGCACCCCCCCCTTGCATCACACCGGCTTCCTGGTCCCCTTCCCCCACAGCGCAATGGGACTCTTTGATCCTGGAACATCCTTGTGGACCATGGATGTTGCTGGACCAGAGAGCTCCGGTTTATAGCGGTGCCACCTGTATAACCCAGCAGCCTTTCAGCTCTGAGTTAGCAAGACCCCATTCTGCCTTGAGCTGAGACGCGAGTCTAGAGCCCTTGTTTTCTAAGTACAACGCCCTAGCCACACTCCCGGGCAGAGGAATAGGCAACTGTACAAGCAAGTGACTGGCGAGCAACTGCAAGTTCCACTAATTGGGTTGGCGCCGTTAACACCATTGGAGCTCAGCTCATCTCTGAAAAAGGATCAGCATGTTTACCACGAGACCGCTGGAAATGCATGGAGGTCAACAGCACAGCCTGCCCATGAGGTCATAGATACACTCACAGAGCCACTGATGGGGGCAAGACTCTTCCCGAACGATACCCCCTCCAAGCATGGATCCTTCCTCTCTTAGAAGCATTTCAGAGTCTGGCAGTGGCTTGCGTTTGCACAGCACCTCACACAGTAGGGGTGTGGTCCATTATCAGAATCCCTCAGGCACCAATCAGGGCTGGGATCAGCACCCTTTCCCATCATATACATCCTGCCTCTGGCCATGAGACCAGGGAAGAGGAAGTATTGTTTAGTGGTTAGTGCAAAGGTTTGGGTTCTGCCACAGAGCAGCTGCATGACCTTGGTCATGTCATCTTACCTTTGTATACCATTTCTCCATTTGCTGACTATGCCTAGTGATACCTACTTACTTCATGGGCTTGGGGCACATTGTAGGGCTCAGATGTGAGGAGGCATCCGGCACTCTGCCATCCTTGGATGGAGATGAGGCATCAGCATTGACTATAGCTTGACTTTGGCCTAGTTCCAACCCCACCTAGGATCCTGCTTGTCCGTCATCAAATGAGGCAAACCCAGGCTGCCTCCAGGAACATGCCCTCTCATTATCAGTTCCACGTCTGATTTCCCCTATGTCAGGGGAGCTACCTTCCTTTACGATTAACATGCTCAGCGTTTTCCCCCGCCTCTCTTCTCTGAAGAAATTCTTTCCCAACCTGCTCATAAACCTGGAATTTTCCCCTATCTATTTCCCCTCTATCCCTGGGCAGCTGGTGGAGGTCTTGGAGGTGAGGCTAGGGCAGGGGTTGGCAAAATCCAGCCCAGTGGCTGGATCCAGCCCTACAAGCATTTCTTTCCGGCCCAGCTAGCTGGTTAGCAGTGTGTGCATATTTACATAGGGCAGGACAGCGTTCCCTGTCTTAGAGACACAGCACGTGGCTTCTCTCAGAAACTTACCCAGCAGCAGCCAACCCACACATTCTGTGTCACTGCCACACACACCCAGTCTGGGCCACGCCATCTCTGTGCCACACACAGCCACTGACACATGGCCACACACACGGTCCTGTCTCTGAGCCACACACTCCTTCGCTCTGTCTCACAAAGGCTGTCTCCCAACCCAAACTCTTGCTAGCCTCAGTCCCACCCCATCCACCTCAGGCCCCCCCCAGCAAAAATCCTGCCCTCCGTGGGGATCGTGACACCTTCCCCACGGTGCTGCACTTTGTGACCTGTGCCCCCCCAACATCCCTGTGTGTCAATCGGCAGCGAGCACAGAGCCCCCCGGCGTGAGCCCACAGGAAGAAAATTGAACATGAGCAAACGACCCTTCTTTCGCCACTTCCAAAAGGGGAAGGGGGACTCCAGGCCAGCGTGGCCACAGGCCAGGAAGTGGTTGAAAACATGTCTCAGGGCCGACCCTAGGCATATGCAGCATGCACAGCCCCGTAGGGCACCCACTAAATTTGATGCATCACCCTCTAAGGCGCCCCAAATGTAATCGTGCACAATGCTGCATGTGCCTCAGGCCACCGCCAGCCACGGGCTACACTGGCCACCACAGAGGCTCCAATCCCCCGGCCTGCAGCTCTGGTTGGCTGTGCTGCTTGGTCCGCTGCTCCCCTGCCAGCCTCCTGCTCCTGCCCCTCACAGCCCTGAGCACCTCCTCCCCATGGAACGACACCCCCCCCCCAATGCTGCAGGATAGAGGGTGCAGGTGCTGAAGCATAAGGACGGCCCTGTTGCATCTCCCCAGTGGAGCCAACAGTCTCTGCAGGCCCTTGGCAAGATGGGGAGGCAGCTCTATGCTCTTGGAAGGGGTGGAGCCAAGTGCAGAGGGGGTGGAGCCAAATGCAGAAGGGGTGGGGCCAAAGGGGTAAGGCAGCCCTCAGCGCTGCCTGGAGCATCCCCCTGCAAGCTCTTAGCACTGGCCAGAGTGCGTGGCATGGCCTTCCCATAGCAATGTAAAGGGCCCTGCACTCCGGCCACATCTGTTGCTATGGTGGCAGCAGCAGACAGAGGAATTGCCAGGCCCAGGGGCAATTGACCTCTTGCCCCCTCCTGCTCTTGGAAGGCCTGTGTCTCGCCATCTCATCCCCAGACAGAACTGGGGGTCCCCTGTGCACTGCAGCTAGGGACGGCACTTTCCCCCACGCTCTCTAGTTCAGCTCTGGAGGGAAAAGAAATGAACAAGGCCCAATGCTGGACTCAATCCTTGCTCAGTAGGGGCCTGCTCCGGTGAGGTAAGGCCCTTGCATCCCCCTGAAGGTTGCATGCCAAGGCAGGATCAGGCCCGTATGGCCTCTAATGCTCCTCAGATGCACACCAGTCTGGACCGCTGTGCAGCGTTAAACCAGCTCTTCATGGCAGGGCCTGGGGGGAGGCAGCTAAGCAGGTGGGCAGACATGGGGGAAAGTGCCCTTGAAAAATCTGCCTGATTGGTTGCCGTGTGCAGGGAAGCCTGGACGGCCCTGCCTCAACATTAATGTCTGCCTCGACTACCGTGCAGACCCCTGAAAAGCAAACCCCAGGCCTAGTTCACATCTGGGGCGCCCAAAGAACACAGGCAAGGCGGGGGTTAATAAGGGAGCTGGGAAAGTCAGGAATTGTTTTGCATAACAATGCAGATTAAGCTTGGTACAGCAAGACCAGTCAAAACCACACAGGACAAGCAGCCTTGTACTGGTACTTTTGTTCTGATAAGCAAAAATTACAGCGTACAGCCATGAAACTGTTAATTGTGCATATAGTTTTAGCAATAGCCTGTGTGGCAGAATGTACGCCAAATATGAGCATAATAGGTGCCTTAAACAATACGTAATCGATTGGTAGAGATAATTAGTCGAGTATAAATATAGGTGTAGAACACATAATCGGTGGAAGGGATGAGGTAAGCGGTCCCCACTACCTTACTCACTGCTATTAAGAAGTTGGTGCTTGTTCCTACTGGCAAACGCATTGTGGACACCTCTATGGGCGGGGAAAGAAAGACGCCACGACCTTCCATCTGACAACTGTAAGTTGCTAATTGTGGAACTGTGTGATTTATAGCAATAAGTACATATCTGCTTATATCTATAAAGTTAAATATCTTTTGTACTGTCCTAGCTGTAGGTGTTATTATATTGTCTGTGCTACCTATCCCATTCATTGGAATGAATTTATGTAACTCTGCATTTCTTTCCTTTACTTTTCTGTGTATAATAAAGTTAGAGATCTTTGGTGTTTACTGGCTCCTCCCATATCTAATATCCTGAACACACGACACTGTGTCAACTGCAATTAGAAAAACCAAAGCTGAAGTTGACATCTGCAGACGAGAAGCTGCAACAATCAGTTCAGAAGGAAACGCTGTCCCCTTCCCGGATCATAACCCACTTTGTGACTGTATTGTGAACACAGCGATTCCTCGTCTTTTGGCCCAAACCCGCATGTCTGTAGCTGGTGCCAAAGTCAGCCCTTTCCACACCCAGGCTGGCAGCTAAGCAAGGCCAACCCCCAACATTCAAAAGAAACCCACACACCTGTCCACCCCCATCTCCCCCCAAAAAATCTTGAGACTGGCATGAAAATCATGGGATTCCTTCTATTTGCATTCTGGGTGGGGTAGAGCCAACTGCAGACAGGGTGGGGCCAAGTGCAGAAGGGGTAGGGCTTTTAGAGTTCCCTGCTGTCCGGTTCTCCTGCAGCGAGGAAGGCTGGGCACTTGCACTTGTTTTTCAATGAAAGCTGAATTTTTCACAAAAATCACAGGACTCCAGGAACAGGGGCTTTAAGGAGAATCATCATGTTGGGAGAGTTGGCAATGTTGAGAGCTAAGGGCAAGATCCCCAGAGCCACCTCGACTAATTTGATTGAGGGATTAGTCTGTCCTAGAAGTCTACACTACCGCCGAAGATCGGTTTAAGGTACACAATTCCAGCTATGTCAAAACGTAGCTGGAGTCGACGTACTTCAAACCGATCTTCAGCGCCATTCTCACAGAGAGAGGTTGACAGAAGAAACGCCCCCATCCACTTCCCTTATTGCTCGCGAAGAGTAGGAGTTCCAGGGTCGACAGGGGCAAACTCACCGTTTGATTTAGCAGGTTTTTATTAGACCCACTAAATCAAACGCCAGAACAACTGCCACACCATCGAGCTTCTCTATCGTCTAGACATGGCTGCTTGCAACATGCAGCCTACCTGAGGCCATGTCTTCACTAAGTGGAAAATGGATACTGATGTGGTTGATCTTCCAGAGTTGGATTTAGCAGGTTTAGTAAAGACCCATTAAATCAAACTCAGAGGGCACTCTACCAGCCCAGGGGGTGTGTTCGGTCTCTGGAGATCGAGGTTGGCAGATAGAGCCCCAGGGGGCATGATTGGGCTCAGGAGGCCAAGGTTGGCCACCGGACCCCGAGATGGCATGATGGAGATTCTACAATCTTCCTCAGCAATTTATTCCAGCGTTTAACCACCCTGAAATTAGGAATTTTTTTCCAAACGTCCAACCTAAACCTTCCTGGCTACAATTTAAGCCCATTGCTTCTTGACCTATCCTCAGAGGCCAAGGAGAACATTTTTTCTCCCTCCTCCTTGTAACACCCTTTTAGGTACTTGAAAGCTGCTATTATGACCCCCCTTCAGCCTCCTCGCAGAGCTCATGACTTCTAGACCTCTAATCATTTGCTCGTCTCTGGACCCTGTCCAGTTTCTCCACATCTTTCCTGAAACGTGGCACCCAGAACTGGACACAAGACTCCAGTTGAGGCCTAATCAGCGCAGAGTAGAGCGGAAGAATGACTTCTCATGTCCTGCTCACCACACTTCTGTTCATGCAGCTCAGAATCAGGTTTGCTTTTTTTGCAACAGTGTCACGCTGTCGACTCATATTTAGCTTGTGGTCCACTACGACCCCTAGATCCCTTTCATCAGCTCTTCCTAGACAGTCACTTCTCATTCTGTCTGTGTGAAACTGATTGTTCCTCCCTAAGTGGAGCACTTTGCATTCGTCCTTATTAAACGTCATCCTATTTACCTCAGATCATTTCTCTAGTTTGTCCAGATCGTTTTGTATTATGACTACCTTCCAAAGCACTTACAACCCCTCCCACCTTGGTATAATCCAACTCCTCCTTGCCCCCAAATTCGTGCAGATTTACCCCCTTTTGTCTATTCCTCAGTTTTGATTTTGGCTTCCAGGAATGAAACTTCCCCCATTGCCCCGGGACATGCTCCTTTTCAGATGCTCCCGGCTAATTCAGAAGTACAAATTGAGGCCATTTCACAGGGTTTTAATAGGCGTGTACAGTGTTTTCTGCTTACAGTACAGGATACTCTCATGGCTCTACAGTCCACATCAAGCCCCTCCCCCATCAGTGGGGGTCTCTGCTTCCTTCCCTTGACCCTCCCCTTAGTCCACACATCTGGGCTGATGTATCAGTGGGATGTAGCTGCCTGCAAACAGAGGCCAGTCTAACCCGCTGTAATGTACAACGTCTTCAGCGTCCCTCAGCTACATTTTGCCTACACTAAGCTCGGGATCTGGCCCAGGGGATGATTAGAACTGATCTCACTTGACACCCAATGAACACAGCAAGTTCAGAGCTCCTGGAAAATTTTTGAAATAAATCTGAATTCACCAATCATTTGGCAATTACGTTCCACAAGCCCCGCATGGGCCCTTTTCTCCTTGGTTTGCTTGTTTTAACGGATAATGTTAAATTTTCCATCTCTCCTTTCTTTCCAGTAAATGGTCTGGTGAATAACCCAGATTTTGCTAAAAAAATGTCAATGTCAGTTTTGATACAAAAAAATACCCAGTAACAATACCATTAAAAACAACATGACCAAAACACACGCCAAAAATCCATAGAAAAAATCAACAGGGTTGGATTTTGCAGGGTGTGTCTTTCCCTCCTAAAAGTTTTTATTTTTGTGGGGGGGCAATATTAGCATTTTTGGACCAAAAAAACACCCTCCAAATATTTTTAAAATCCCAGCCATCTCAACCTTGTCACATGGGGGTGGTAGTTCTGGGATTAGCCAGCCTTGACAGATTGCAAGTGGAGATGGAATTGAATTAGAAAGCTGGTTTCCCCAGAGCATTCTCCTCAGGGAGGTGCCCACGTCAGCCCGTTTATGCGGGCACCAGGCCGGAGAGCTCTGCCCGCTGTTTACCTCAAGACTGGGGTTATCCCTGCTTGCTCGCAGCAGTCATTAGCATGGACCCAGGGACGGGCGTTCCAGTAGGTCACAGACAAGAGGTACGTGGGCAAAGGACTGATGTGGGGAGCAAACCGTGTATCGGAATAAAACCCCTCCCCCTAAAGAGCAGGGCAGGAGATGAGGAGCAGACCCCATCTTTTCGATGCCATGGTCAGGGCCGGACTGCGCCCTTGTCCGTCCCCGTGGCAGCGGTGGGGGGAGGGGGAAGGCACGGCATGGCCCGTGGTTATGTCCATCCTGGGGGAGATCAGAAAGAAGTCTGACTGGAATTCCTGCCCCAGCAGCCAATCCACGGCAGCTGGGCGGCCCATTTCCCAGTCGCCACCACCTGCAGCTTGGCCTGGTCAAACTTCCAATACTGGTCGTCCCGGAAGAAGTACACGAAGCCGTCCTGCTGCGTCAGGGCACCGTTCACCCCGGCCGGGACCCCGTGCCAGTCCCTCAGGCTCCTGGGGTAGTAGGGCTCCACCTGCAGCGCCTCCTCGCGCACCACGTAGTACTTGGGGCCCTTGAAGAGCACCAGGTGGCGGAGCTGCTGGAAGTAGAGGGCCGCGTCAGGGTGGCGAGGGAGGTTGCTGGTGCTGCACTTCTGGGGGAATCCCTCCTCCAGGGAGGACCCGTTGTATCGCCAGCATCGGCCGCCTGGAGAAAAGCCAGAGACAAAGCTGGTTAGGGTTGCCGTGGGGGGAGGGAGGCTGTCTAGGGGGCAGGACACAATCCAGCGAGAGCATTTTGACACCCAAAAGAGACAGGGAGCTGGTTTCCCAAAGGTGTGTAGTTAATATACAACAGGCGGCACCTTTTATCAGCGGCTGTCAAAGCGCTTTGCGAAGGGGCACGGCACCATTCCCACCACTGCACAGATGGGGAAACCGAGGCAGAGAAGGGGGATGCCACTTGCTCAAGGTCACCCAGCTGGCCGGTGGCAAAGGTGAGAATAGAATCCGGCTCTTCTGTCCTGGCCCTGTGCTCTATCCCCTAGGCCACACGGCAGGTCAAACAGGCCCTGGCAGGGGGACGGACAGTGTCCTTGTTCAAAGTTAACACGGATCTAAAGGAGGGGATCTAAAAGCAGGAGCCTCTTCTGCCGAGCTAAATGACCCCCAGCCAGCACTGATGGGGACCAAACAGCTTGTTGTGAGGGTTCCCAGGCCCTGGGGCTGGCTCACCCTGTAGTAGAAAAAAAATTATTTGTAGTAATAGATAGATAGATAGAAAATATTTTATGTATTTAAGTTTTAATATGTTTTGTGTTGTATATTTTGCTACATTATTTTAAAGTAAAAATAAATTTAGATTTGTACGGCTATTATTTTGTTTTTAGTTTTAAAGTAAATATTGTAATATAGTACAGCAAAAAGGACTGGTTTTGAAAAAATTTTTTGCTATTGCATTATATGTATAAAAATAAAAAATGTATAAAAAAATAGATGTAAAGGTCATAATCACACCAAATGCTAGGGAAAAAACCAACTGACAAAAGGCACCAAAAATTACTGCATATCAAAAGAGGGCAGATTGACAACCCCGGGCACTAAGGGAAAAGGCAAGCATTTACTAACTGGGACAAAATATTTGTAATCCAAACCAGCTTAGCATGGCAAAACAAAACAAAAAATCCACCCAAAAATAACAAACATCTGTCAAAAAACAGCATAATAATGCAAAACATACTAATACCAATTTTAAAAACTGCTATTCAAAAAAGCTGCTTTGCCATAATTTGGGGGGACGTCCTGCCGAAGACTGGAGCATCGGTCTGGCCGATAGAGCCCGGCTCCTCTGCCCGTAATCAGTCTTTGGTTGGACACAAATCGTGAACTGGTGAACATAACATCAGTGTCTTTTCTCCCTAGAAGGATCCCGTGTGCTTCTTAGAAGCATAACAGCTCAGACCATCTGCCTCGAACGGGTGAAGCCCTGTGCCCACACCCAGCGCTGCCCACCTCCGTTTGCAGCCAGCAGCTACCAAAGGCGTGGCCTGCCCTCCCTCTTTGCCTTGCATGGGCACGGAGCCCGAATCCTTAGCAGCCCGTTTCCCCAGACACCCCCAGCTGCCCTGAGGTCCCAGGCAGAGCGGGGGAAGAGGCCTGCCACAGAGATAGTGTTAGTTCCCATGCCCAGTTGCTGCCCCCATCCATCTGCACAGGCTGGCCACACGTGCCCGTTGGTGGTGGTCAAGTAAATGGAAGGGGGAGGGGAATCGAGGACAAAGGCTGGGGCAAGAGGCGGACCCAAAGGGAGGCGGGAGATGGGCATAGCCTTCATGCCACTCAACCAGCCGGCGTCAGTGCTGAGCAATTCACAGCCGGCTCTCCGGCCTGACGTCAGAACCCCTGAGCAATCTGCAGGGGGAAGAAGGACATTTACAGGTTTGGGATTTATTATTAAAAGAAAACAGCCCAACTACTGTCCCCCGCGCAGATGAATCGACATGCAACAACAGAGGCGCCTCAGGGGCTAAGATGAATGCAGAGAGGCCTAGGTGCCCTCAGGAATCAAACGCAGGACTGTGCTCACAAGAGAGCAGGCACCTGCTCAGGATATCCTGCCTAAGGCAACTTGCATGGTGACCCTCACTCTAACGCCTGAGCAGCTCATAATCTTTCATGCACTAGGGGCAGGACAGGGAGGGCTGTTATCTCTATGGTACAGCTGGGGAACTGAGGTGCAGTCACAGCAAGGCTAAGTGACTTGCCCACAGTCTCTCAGGAAGTCAGTGGCAGAGAATTGACCCCAGGCTGCAGGATGGAGGCTATGAACAACACACAGCCTGCTGAGCAGCTGCTGTTCCCACTACTTCCTGTAGCGGCTGCTAGAGCCTCACTGCCAAGCAAGTCGCTCCAGAGCAAAACCCAGACTCTCAGGGATGGCCCGGCAGAGGCAGCGAACCGCAAGGATGCTGACTGGCCCTACCGGGGATCCTTGGCAAAGAAAGAGCAGTGCAATTCCTGCTATCCAGCCCCGGCGGGGGCAGTGAGGTGAAATCCAGGCACCCCCAGATCACAGAGAAATATCCCCAGCCAGTGTTCTGGGCTGCAAACGGAAATTTCTGCAGTCACTGGCTGACAATGCGGGACACTTCTCTCTACCAGGGTCTCGTTACCCTAGTATTGGAGCCCCCACTATCTCTGCTGCGTTTATTCTCCCATCACCCCAGTGAGGTCAGGCCGGCTAAGTGATTTGCGTCGGGTCACCCAGAAAGTCAGTGGCAGGGCAGGAATCAACTCCAATTCTTCTAGCGCTCTAACCACTAGACCAGCTTTACTTTCAAGGGCACGCTTGCGCAGGGAGAGCCTCCCGGACATA